TGGCACCTTAGTCATAGGCCCCGACTGGTGCATTTTAGGCCCCCGGCTGGTATCTCTTAGTCTTAGGCCCCGGCTTGTACTTCTTAAGCCCCGGCTTGTACCTCTTAGGCCCCGGCTTGTACCTCTTAGGCCCTGGCTTGTACCTCTTAGGCCCCAGCTGGTGCCTCTTAGGCCAGCATGATCAATGCATCGATCGTGGACCCTTCAGATATAAAAGAAGAAGCTATGCTAGGGACCGCGCTATTTCAAGGTTTTGTTATTTCCAGGTCTCGCTGTGCCGATAAGCCTATGCATCAGGGGTTGGCCTAACTTTTCAGCAGGCGGGCCAAATTTCAGAAATATTTCCTGTCGGGCCACGCACGTATTTTTCTTCTTTTTTTTTGGGGGGGGTGGGGGAGGGGGGTAATTAATAATACCGGTAATAACAATAATAATTAGTGGTCTTTTATAGCGCAGTACCCCAGCCTAGGGCTGGATTCACCGCACTGCACATTAACCTATTATTATCAAGGCAGACCATGGACGGCAGCCAGCAAGATCATTTATGGGTCAGAGGAGGGGAATCAGTCTGGGTAGTTTAGTTTAAAGAGATGTGTTTTGAGTGCAGTTTTGAAGGCATGGGTGGTTGGTCTATTGCGGATGTGTAGTGGCAAAGAATTCCATTGTTTGGGGGCGCGCAGAAAGAGAAAGATCGTTCACCATATGTTTTAGTGTGTGTCTTGGGATTGGACAGAATACGCGTGTCTGCGGAGGAGCGAAGCTGTCGAAGGGGTGAATTAAAGTAAACAAACACGCGTGCTACAACTTCGACCACATCGTCGTTTCCCTACAGATTAGATCGCGGTTAAACGTTTGCTCGGTTTAATGTAAAAAGAAATAATATAACAAGAAACGGGCTATATTTAAAAAAATTAATAAAAAAAACCTGACTGATAATCAAACATATGTACTAGACAATTTTAAAATACTTAAAAAGTCAGAAATCTGTCTTGGTTTTGCAGAACTAAGTGCTGACTGATGTTGTCGCTACACGCAAACAGTTTTCCAAATGAACATCAGTAACTCGTGCTCTCACTCTCACTGGTGATTTGGTGTGCTTCGTACGACCAAAAAGCTGTTCACACGCATTAAGTGTTTCCCAATTGCCAATAGTGATACCATCGACAGAGCATGTTTGTAAAACGCAGGATATTTTTATTCTTGTCCAAATACGTTTTATCGAACTCTTCCAAACCAACTTGATGAAACACCTCCTTTAAATGTGTATCAAAACACATTTCACAATGCTCCACTTGTAATCTTTATGGTAATAAATTCACTTCCACTGCAAATGGCGTTGCAAATGCGCAAAAAAAAAAAATATTCACATTATGTTTTTAAAAAAAAATCTTGAAATAGGTTTTCAAATTCGAGGTTTAAGTCAGATATCAAAGCAAAGTAGCGCATGTATCCACCGCCTTCTGCAGTGTGACGTCTGGTTGCAATGACAATTTGGGAAAGTGATTTAAGTTTTTTTGTCCTCAACTATTGTTCCCAAAGACCAAGTTTTATTTGAAATCTGATCATACATCTTATCGATTAATTGATCTTTCCCTTGTAGTATGTAGACGAGTATTAACGTCATTAAGATGGCTAGTCATATCAGAGATGCAAAGTCGAAATAATCACTCCTTGTTTTCAAACTCTGGGATACCTATTGACTTTCTTGCAAAGAATGATTGCATTTCTTGCTGCAAATCAAACACATTTTTCAACATTTTGTCCCGGGTCAGCCATCTCACTTCAGCATCAAATCTAACGTCCTCATAATCCGAGTCCAAAGATTTTAGAAATGATGGAACTGACGGTGATTCGACCTGTTCCACTTAATGAAGATCACTATTTTGACGATCACATTCATAACATGGTCCATCATTTTGAGGCACTTCAAACATAAATTCTCATGATGAATAATGCAATGAAAATTTATCATTGAAGTATTACTGACTCTAGAGGCCTCATTTTCAATCAATTTTTATCAAACTTTGTTTTTCCCAGTATCTGCCACAGGCTATCTGTGCTTTCATTCAATGCTAGAGTTGACCAGTATCTGCCACAGGCTATCTGTGCTTTCATCCAATGCTAGAGTTGACCAGTATCTGCCACAGGCTATCTGTGCTTTCATCCAATGCTAGAGTTGACCAGTATCTGCCACAGGCTATCTGTGCTTTCATCCAATGCTAGAGTTGACCAGTATCTGCCACAGGCTATCTGTGCTTTCATCCAATGCTAGATTTGACCAGTATCTGCCACAGGCTATCTGTGCTTTCATACAATGCTAGAGTTGGCCAGTATCTGCCACAGGCTATCTGTGCTTTCATCCAATGCTAGAGTTGACCAGTATCTGCCACAGGCTATCTGTGCTTTCATCCAATGCTAGAGTTGGCCAGTATCTGCCACAGGCTATCTGTGCTTTCATTCAATGCTAGAGTTGACCAGTATCTGCCACAGGCTATCTGTGCTTTCATCCAATGCTAGAGTTGACCAGTATCTGCCACAGGCTATCTGTGCTTTCATCCAATGCTAGAGTTGACCAGTATCTGCCACAGGCTATCTGTGCTTTCATCCAATGCTAGAGTTGACCAGTATCTGCCACAGGCTATCTGTGCTTTCATCCAATGCTAGAGTTGACCAGTATCTGCCATAGGCTATCTGTGCTTTCATCCAATGCTAGAGTTGACCAGTATCTGCCATAGGCTATCTGTGCTTTCATCCAATGCAAGAGTTGGCCAGTATCTGCCACAGGCTATCTGTGCTTTCATCCAATGCTAGAGTTGACCAGTATCTGCCACAGGCTATCTGTGCTTTCATCCAATGCTAGAGTTGACCAGTATCTGCCATAGGCTATCTGTGCTTTCATCCAATGCTAGAGTTGACCAGTATCTGCCATAGGCTATCTGTGCTTTCAACCAATGCTAGAACATAAACTATAAACTCCGATGCTCAGCTTTTCAAATTATAATCAATATGTTTTCCAATGTCGTCCAAAAGCCAAGTAATAGTCTGACGAGATAGTCTTATTTTTGAGAAATCCTTCTTCTTTTCTGGACACAGAATTTCAAAGAACGCTCTTTAAGCATTCCTTAACCATTTTACCATCTGAATATGGCTTCGATTTTTTTATTTTTTTTTTTGCTGGTATCATGGCAACTGCATAATTAGCTTTTACATGGCATGTTGACTCTGAACCCGCTCTAGTAAATATCTTTTGTTGTGCATGTTTTTTTTGTGTTTTTTTTAAAGTTGAAGTCATTTACTTGGTCTTGCCGACATTGCCCTTTGTACTTATCAAACTTATTGGCATGATGTCTAGTCTCGTGGTGCCGTTTGATGTTATACTCTTTCAAAACAGAAACGGAGTCCTTGCCTATCAAGCGATTGGACTTTGTTTTAATTTACACGAAAAAAATTGTTTATGATTATGTCCACCTGTCTTGAAAAGTTCTTAAAATGGCTCAAAACCAATGAATGTTTCCAAATTATGCCAGATATTAAAAAATTTTCCTTAGCCATAATTTAAAAAATATATGATACGAACGACTCATGGTGTAATGTTCCTTTGGTCTTATGTACCATAAAGTTAACATTTATGTTCATTTGACCTACCTCCGCGGGCCGCAAAATGTATGTGCCGGTACTCTTAGTTTTTTCAGCGGCAAATTCGGAGTCCGCCCCGGGTGGCATACTGTCTCGCAACGCCAGTGGCCAGTGAGTCGACCATTCTAGATACAAACTGGGGGGACATCACTCTTGACTTTGATCCCAATAAAACAGGAACTTGTTTTTTTAAATTTAGAAGAGAAAAAAAAAATGACATCTGCTTTATAAGTTAGACTCTATGCATGAAAAGATAAAGTGGGTTTATTAATCATTTCCTTCTATCAATTTTCTCCTGAAGCAAAGCTGTGTTCAATTATGTGGAGTCAGTTTCATTCTAATCAACCACATATCCTTTTCAACCCCCCCCCCCTCTCCACAACCTTTTGCAAATGAAATCAGTATCAGAACAACTACTATCACTTCTGGGTTGTTTTAAAAAAAATTAAGTAGCACTTGTAATCATTGAAATATCCTCATCAGCACCAGGCACAGAAACTTTGCAAATCCCCTCTACATGCATAGGGGCCAAAATGATCAATAAATTGATCGTGGTCCCTTAATATATAGAAGATGAAGAAGAAAAGATCTATTAAAACAAATAAAACCAGTTTCACAACTATTGCTTCAGTACGCCCCTTCCAGTCAATGCGTCTATGGAGAGAAGACACCATGTCGTCTGCTGACTTCTGGGGCTCGGTTTTATTTACCGAAGTTTTTTTTTTTTTACCGCAAGTGCAGAAATAAAATAACATTTGAAACAAGACACCTCCTCTGTCATCTACAGTTGGGGTATAATTTTTTTTTTACATTAAATATATTGCCATTTAAAAGCTGAGGCCACACGTCTCTGTGTATGCACTACACTGACATGGCAAGTACTGAATTAAGTCAGGGAGCAGCAAACCAGGATAGAGGTAGATCTGATCTCAGCGCAGTCAACTGTCCCATTCAGTTGTCCCATTCAAGCCAAGATTTTCCGACAGCATACTTGTAAAAATCAATAGGCCTATTGACGAGTTGGGGGACATTCACAGTTGAGAAAAAGCTAAGGTTATTGATATTATTTTGTACAGCAGCCTTGCAATCATCTTTTGCTGACCAACATACAGCAGCATTGTTTCAGCTTTTGCTGACCAACATACAGCAGCATAGCTTCAGCTTTTGCTGACCAACCTACAGCAGCATTGTGTCACCTTTTGTTTACAGTTTTCAACTCTAGTCCTGGTGGGTAGAGGGTGCTTGAAACATTTTGAAAAATGAGAGGGGGTACAGTTCTGCAAATAGATTTAGAACCACTGATATATGGAGACAGTATACGTGTGATCATACATAAAAAAAGGTGTAAAAACCTTGGTTTCATCGCCATATTATAATATGTCATTTTTAATCACAGTGAGATAAATATCCAATACGATAACACTGTCACTGTCCAGGCAAGGTGCAAGGTACATGACATGGTTCCCCAGGTGAACATGCACATCACTTACAAATCTGTGTGTACAGGTATCAAATGTACTTTTGCTTAAACCTAAATTTTAAAAAAATTATTACAGTGAACATCATCTGGTCTTGATGTGAGGGAATCTAACCGGGCTTTGTGAATGTAAACCTTCAACATCAGAATGGAAAATAAACAGCACTTTGTTATTTTACACTTTGTGAACGTACAGTAACTAAAGCAATAGAATAATTATGTTCCTGCTTACACTTGTAACAAATTATTTTTAAAATAACTTTTTAAAAATTACTGTACCGTACGACCGGTATATAATTTATAACTTTGACATGGGCTCGATTTTAACAGGTTGGAGTTTTCTCCCTCTTTCGATGTAACAATGGTCAATTTAAATTTAAATGGCAAGTCTTCACTAAAAAACAAAAAACAAACATCTGAATTTAATTTTTTTTTTTTTTTTAAATTATGAAATTGAAATTAGAGGTAATCTGGGTACTTAACCGTAGAACAAAACTGGTTAAGACATATTGTAAGAGGAAGGTCCAGCAAAAAATTATTAAAATGTATTAATGGTTATAGTATTATGTTAAACAAAACATACAATATTTATCGATGTGCAAATATTATGATTCAGAATTGTTGAAGGTGTTACAGGAGAGTGAGTTGGTTTATACAGAAATGATTGAGTACCGCATATACTCACATATAGCCCTATGCAGGTCACACCAGTGGATAGGTCGCACACTTAGTTTGGGGTTGTCAAAAGGTGGTATTAGCGGTCGGCTCGCATTTAAGTCCCACAGTTACTGAGGGGATTAACACAGCCCTTTGTTAACAGAACAGAACCAATCACTGATAGCCTCTGCTACTGCGGAAGCAAGAGAGAAACAATTCTCTGGATTTTGGTATAAATGACTACGCCGCACTGAATTAATCAAATATAAATATGAGGAGTGAAGAGTGCAGATTGAGTGATTTAATTCAATGTGTGATGCATTGCAGTTCTAAGAGGTGATTGCAGATGATTAAAATGTTATGGAAAAATGCGTTTTCTCCCCAAGCTCCCGCTTATGCTCAAGTCCATGGTACAGGACTAGTCAACTGATACACACCTGGTCTACTGATACACGCCTGGTCTAGTGATACACTGCCATTCACTTTAGATCCCTGTGATGGTCAGTGGGTAGTTGGCATCCTTGATTTTTATAGGAATTTTGGTTAAAAAAAAAATTGCAATCTATTTGCGAGTATAAACGGTAGATGAAATAAGACACTCAACTGTTTGTGTGTAGACAGTTGTTTGCCTACTTCAATCATAATGGTGACAGTGGCTTTGAATACAAAATAAGGAACAGAAAAAAAATCAAGCTTTTGTTCTAAAATGGAAAAGAAATTCAATGAATTTAAATAAAATTGTTCATTACAATGTAATCTCCGACTCTGGAGTAAAAAGTAAAGGGATAGAAAGATAAAGGTCGGGCAAAAGACTCCTACAGTCTTCATGGTTCACAAGGCATGTGGCCAAACGTCTGGATTTGTATTTTGTAATTTCACTGAAACCTAACTATACTGCTTACCTACACAATTTGTTACTTAAATGAGGCTTTTTGTTCGCCTCGATTTTCTTTTCTTACAAAATTAGTCTTTTTCAAAATATGAAACAGTAGCAGTACCCCTCAACCCAATTTTTCAAATGTGCTATTTATAAACTGTCCAATTTTGAAGTGCAAGACATGAATGATTTGCAGTGCTTGTAAAGGATAAAACATGACACAGTCTCAAAGCAACATCCTTATAACTCAATCTGTGTGTAATCTGATTAGATCAACATTATTATTGCCAACAAATCAACAGCGAAGGTGTCAATAAAACACTAAATGCACAGTTCTAAGCAATGCTGAAATCGCTCACTCGATGCCCCGCGGCAGATCACATCAACAATATAGACGACAGAAAATATGGGAAAATTCATTTAAATAAGTTTGAAAATAAATCCTAAATATAAGATTAAGAATCTGTTTGGGAGAAGAAGAATTGCTCTGAACATCAGACATAAGACATTTTTGACAGATTAGTTGAGCTTAGACTTACTTTATCCCAGATATTGGAATGTCATCATGCATGGGGCCATGTGGTGTACCCCAGGAGTTTACACAAAACATGGCTGACTTCCTTGAAATAGTTGAAAGCAGACGAAATCAATGTGCTGGGCCAGAACATTGCTGGGCCTGAACATTGTCAAATATTTGGAAATCAATGCGCTTGGCGTGGATATTGTCAAATATTTGGAAATCAATGCCCATGGCCTGGATATTGTCAAATATTTGGAAATCAATGCGCTTGGCCTGGATATTGTCAAATATTTGGAAATCAAGGTGCTAGGCCTGGACATTGTCAAATATTTGGAAATCAAGGTGCTAGGCCTGGACATGGCATTAAAATTTCATTTCTTTCATCCGACAAAAAAAATTTCATTCCCTTCCTCCACAAACAACCCAGCCACAACGATGTCTGGTGTCGCAAGTCCTGGATAGCCACAATACAACAACGTTGTATGTCCTGATCAAAGTAATGGATTAACTCACTGGTTTGCAAGTGATGTGTTTTGTCCACATCTAGCAGTCAAGATCAATTCTTACATTAGCCAGGAAAAAAAATGATTAAACTGGAAGGGCTTAAAGATAAGTGATTTGATCTTATATGATGTAGGAATATTGTGAGGTAGGGAAGGTATCACGATAATTGTTTCATCTGGTTGGGCCATTAACTTCATTTTGTGCCAATATGTACATTCATCCATTCCTTTTAAACCTCTGGGTGTTACAGTAACTTCTAAGTTCATATATTATATATGAATTTATTATAATATTTGGAATCTTGAATGTCAGCTGCACTGACATGGGAACTTCACACATATCCCTTGTACAATACAAGTGCTGATATTTTGCTTTGCCTGGCTCCTACAGTAAAGTCACTAGCCTTTTAATACACGTGATTGGACACAACCATTTTTGTAACAAGGGAACATTGAAATAACAAGGAAAATGTGGTGACCTTTATGACAAAAAGTATTTTCAAACAAATCTTGTCTTATTTAACTAGTAGGTAGACCAACTTAATCATCAGGTTGGCAGACATTATCATGTGGATAATAAAAAAAAATTTGATTTGATTGGCTATCATTGCCATGTGATTGACCACAACTATTTTACTTTATAGACCTGTGATGTGGACACTTGTGGTATCCACTGATATTTAAAAGTCATGTTTGGAGACTCCCAAAAATACTCTCTGATATAACTAGCCGACATCTGAAGGTGTGGTACTCTGCGAGAGTGACACATTTTCTTGGCCAGAACAGATCCCACCTGGCAAATAGTTACAAGGGAACTCTGCATAACAGTGGTCACCTATCAGACCATCACGCAGCGACCTTGGCATGCTTTCTGTTCCTTTTCAGCCTCTTGTTCAGTATCTTTTCACTGGCACTCCACAGGGCCACCGCCATGGCTTTGTTCTCGGCTTGCTTGGATGGCTGGCAGCGACAGCAGTTGTTGAAGTACAGGCCACCCACATTGTTCAGTTCGTCTGCCACTGCACAGTAAACTGTTGTCGCAGCCCCTTGTTGCTGTAAAAGATAATGTACTCTTGAGAACTAGTACCAGATGCTGAAACTAATTTTCAATAATCCTATGCAATGACAGAGTCTGGACTGCCATCGGGGCACATATCCTCCACAGGATTCATTATTGTTTGGAGGACATTGGTGAAAACTTCAAAGGAACGATTAAGGGTTTAAATAAAACATGGCTTTGGCTTCCTGTGTAACGCATTTAAAACACTTAATATGACACGCGTTCACTTATTTCAGATGATGAAAATTACGAAAGTGTAGAGTTGTAAGCAGAAAAAATTTAATAATCATGGTAGAGACGTTCTGCTTTCAAGGCGCAGGCAGCTAAGATATTTACAAGACATACAAGTTCAAGAAAACCATCCAATATTTCTTCAAGCATCCACTATTCCTCAAACGTTGTTTTACGTACAAAATGAAATTCTGGAACACAATTCCCATAAAGATTATCTTTACTTACATAATAAACACTGTGATTCTCTATGATATTTTAGATTAGAATCACAAAGGATCCCCCTGTAGCGATGCATGGGTAATAAGTCCTCATGCGGTTAATAAGAGAAAAAAATCTAATAAACAACTAAAAAAAAGTCAGATGCCTGGTTACGTATAATTAAATACCAGGGGTGGGGGTGAGTGCATAGAGTTTCTGCCCAATAACCTGATCCTTGTTTGACTTACAACTCAATTAGGCACGACTATCAATATCCATTATAGAACAATATTTTCTCTGACCTTTCAGCCCATCGTATTGACTCCTATGCTGCACTTAAGATTTCCAGATACAAAAAGCTTTTTTTTGTTTTAAAATACTTTTATTTTTCGTATAGTTTTATTATACTTTTCCTTCCCCCCAACACCGCTGCGAAGCAAGTAGTCAACTTTTGCTTCATAACGCTCACGGGTGGCATCTGAGTTTATGGCAGTTCACGGCCGCCAGGTTTTTGAAAAATGTTAATTAATTAATTAAATTCCTTTATTTTGGCTTTAAAACACATCAAATAGGATCTACAGTGTTAATTAATGATGGGACGATACCAAAATTTTTAAAGATTCCGATACGATTCCGATTCAACCCAATTATCTCGATTCCCGATACGATTCCTGACACGATTCCGATTCCTGGCCATTATTACATACATGTATTACTTTGCCCAGGCATTAACATATTTAATTAATATAAAAGTTGAGAATTGATTAGAAAAGTTTATTAACTTTCTTTTGAAGCTTTACAAGATGCTAGAAACAAACTTTGCGCTGTCACCGGCTTACAGCAGTTAATCAGTAAAGAATCGTTTTCGTATCGGAATCGGGTCTGAATTATTCAGCTCCGATACCGTTTCCCGATGCTTTGAAAAAATCCTGATATTTCGATTATTCCGATACGATTCCGATTAATTGTCCCATCACTAGTGTTAGTGTGCCATCACAAGTGGAACAGAAAACATTTTTGTCTAATTCTTTTTGCTTAATATGCTGTTATTTAGGCCCCTGCAGATATTGCAGGTTACGTCGACAAAGCATTCATATTTATTAAATCGATGTATTTATAAAATATTTTAAACTAAAAAAAGCGTAATTACCAAAAAAATTTGGGGAATATTCAAGTAGGGAATTTTCCATGTGGGCTATTTTCAGTGTGCGAGATATTCTGTTTTTCAGTGTGCTGAATCTTATATGGGGAATTTTTATGTGGGGAATTTTCTTGTGAGGGAAAAATTATAGAAAAATTTTCTGATTCATTCACCTTGCATAGACCCAGCTAAATATCTATGTATAAATGGTATAGCATAGAAGAAATGGGTTCCTAACACAATATCTTTAAACAGAAACCTAATCATCTGTGGTTTAAGAGGGAGGAGGGCATCTCACCCCACTATAGGATTAACTGACTTGTTGGAGAAGCATTATAAAATGTATTCCTCAGTATGGACAAAAAAATGTTAAAAAATACAGGGATTGCCTGGTAAGTCTAAATCATTAAAAAAATTGAGACGGGCTGTTCATCTCTTGGTTCTTAAAAAAGATTATATTAATTAGATTAAAGAATCAATGTTCCGCAGCCAAGAAAATGTGAAATAAACAGACAATAAATGAGATCTGAAGCCAACACAATACAAGATGGGGAATGCAAACAATGTTTTTTTACTGCTCCACCCGGTCATTCATGGGACCAAAACTGAATGAAATGTGCTATCTTACCATTGACTTAGTGAACGGCCTGACCAAAGTGAACAGCAGTCTGTAAAGCCACCAGTAGCGAGATATCCCAGAATACATCATATTCCCTGGATGCAACGAGTTGGCCACAATGCCATGAGGGGACAGCCGGTAGTTGAGCTCGTTGGTGAATAAAATATTGCACAGCTTGGAGTTGTTGTAGGCTCCCATGTGCCAGAAGTTGTTGACCTTTGGAGACAACTTCTCCTGGCAGATGTTGGAATCTTTCAGATCACTGAACCTGATGGGAACAAACAGAGAGAGGGGGTGGGGGGGGGGGGGGCTTTCTTTAGCAAGCCAAGTAAAATTTTCTTTACAAAACTAAGGGCTTTTTGAACGAAGGCCGAGGTAAATTTTAATAGCCAAACAAGACGAAAAAAAATAGGGGGGAAGAGAAAGTGAGAGAGAAAGAAAGGGGGGAAGAGAAAGTGAGAGAGAAAGCAAAGTATAATTTTCTTTACAAAACTAAGAGCTTTTTGAACGAAGGCCGAGTTAAATTTTAATAGCCAAACAAGACGAAATAAAAATTTGTTTTTGTGAACCATCTTTTTGTTGTACTGTAGTTATATCAAAAGAAATTAAAAAATAAAGTCCTGGGAAGGATTCGACCTGGCCCAGAACAACAGAGAAGGATTCGACCTGGGCCAGAACAACAGAGAAGGATTCGACCTGGCCCAGAACAACAGAGAAGGATTCGACCTGGGCCAGAACAACAGAGAAGGATTCGACCTGGCCCAGAACAACAGAGAAGGATTCGACCTGGCCCAGAACAACAGAGAAGGATTCGACCTGGTCCAGAACAACAGAGAAGGATTCAACCTGGCCCAGAACAACAGAGAAGGATTCCCCAGAACAACATAGAAGGATTTGACCTGGCTCAGAAAAACAGAGAAGGATTTTGACCTGGCCCAGAACAACAGAGAAAGATTTGACCTGGCCCAGAACAACAGAGAAGGATTTGCTGAAAAGAAACTCTACTCTGCAGAGAAACGGATGATTAGACAGAAGTCAGACAGCTACCAGAGAAACGGATGATAAGACAGAAGTCAGACAGCTACCAGAAAAAAAGGATGATAAGACAGAAGTCAGACAGCTACCAGAAAAAAAGGATGATAAGACAGAAGTGATAGTTCTCTGGCCATTGACCCCCCCCCTCCCTTTTTTTTCTTCTTCTTCTTAATTTATTCCCAGCTAAAGTGCATGAGGATTGAATGAATAAATAAATGAATGAATCCATCTGTTATGTTTTTGATATGTTTTTATTTCCAACAATAAACATTAACATAAAGATATATATGATACAAGTTCTCAATAATGTTGACTCTATGCTTGTCTCCGGAACACAACAGTCCATTTCATTCACTCTAGTCCACTATAACACAATCATACTAAAAATAAATTCACTTCTGTTTGATTTCTAACTGATGTTGCCTGGGAACTCATTCCAAGTACTACTGAGACTTTAACAGTCAGCTTGTTGTGCATCGGCTGTGGGTCCAATGTCCCAGCAAAGCTCACATACAACATAAAGAAACCAAGTCAAGCACCAGTCGCACAGCGTACTGACCTACCTGTGTGACTCACTGGACACCACCACGACCCTGGCGGGAGCCGACCTCATCATCGTGGTGACCAACAGTTTGGTCAGGTAGAAGTGGGACAAATGGTTGACCTGGAACGTCGTCTCCAGGTTGTCCTCCGTCAAGGAGTGGCCGAGGCCAAACACGGCGGCATTGAGAATCAACAGATGGAGAGGCCTGGAGATAAGATAATTCAAGTCATGAAACAGAAATAAGTCTATATATAGGCTCACAGACTGGTTCTAACCAATGTTCCCTTTAAGCTGCGCGGCCTCACAGCTATCTCACAGACACCGCGCAGCAGTTTTGAGTATCCGTGCAGCAGTTTTGAGTATCCGCACAGCAAATTTCCATGCAAGTGTGTGTTTGTATTTGTGGGCTGTACAATTTTGCACACAAAAAATATTGATGCTGTAAAATTTTGCACACAACTGTACGATTTTGCACACAAACCAGCAAACCTTAGAGGGAACATTAGTTCTCACCCTCTCATTCAACTATGGCTTGTCAGATCAGCTTATATATTCCGTAGACTTCATTTTAACTATTTGAAACAATATTTCTTTGGTGTGATGCTGTTAAAGCCGGTCCTATTTATATAACTACCTTTCCAACTCTCACAGTCAAATTCTGAGCAGCCAATTGTTTGACTCTAAGTAAGAATAAATTAATGATCAGATTCATCAATTTTTTTTTATTATAACTTCAAATAAAGATTGCAGATGAGAAAGATTTTGGCTTAATGTTTTGGGCTAGTCAAGAACGACACTAGTAAACGAGATTAAAATATTGACAACAGGCTGTTATTAGCATCATTATAATAATTAGCAGCACTGTATTCATTAGCATCATTGTAAGAATTAGCATCACTGTAAGCATTAGCATCACTGTAATCATTAGCATCATTGTAAGCATTAGCATCACTTTAAGCATTAGCACCACTGTAAGCATTAGCATCATTGTAAGCATTAGCATCATTGTAAGCATTAGCATCATTGTAAGCATAAGCATCATTGTAAGCATAAGCATCACTGTAAGCATTAGCATCACTGTAAGCATTAGCATCACTGTAAGCATAAGCATCATTGTAAGCATTAGCATCATTGTAATCATTAGCATCATTGTAAGGATTAGCATCACTGTAAGCATTAGCATCATTGTAGGCATTAGCATCATTGTAGGCATTAGCATCATTGTAAGCATTAGCATCACTGTAAGCATTAGCATCACTGTAAGCATTAGCATCATTGTAACCATTAGCATCATTGTAACCATTAGCATCATTGTAAGCATTAGCATCATTGTAAGCATTAGCATCATTGTAAGCATTAGCATCATTGTAAGCATTAGCATCATTGTAAGCATTAGCATCATTGTAAGCATTAGCATCACTGTAAGCATTAGAATCATTGTAATCATTAGCATCATTGTAATCATTAGCATCCTTGTAATCATTAGCATCACTGTAAGCATTAGCATCATTGTAAGCATTAGCATCATTGTAGGCATTAGCATCATTGTAGGCATTAGCATCATTGTAAGCATTAGCATCACTGTAAGCATTAGCATCACTGTAAGCATTAGCATCAGTGTAAGCATTAGCATCATTGTAAGCATTAGCATCATTGTAAGCATTAGCATCATTGTAAGCATTAGCATCACTGTAAGCATTAGCATCACTGTAAGCATTAGTAATCACTGTAAGCATTAGTAATCACTGTAAGCATTAGCATCACTGTAAGCATTAGCATCATTGTAAACATTAGCATCATTGTAATCATTAGCATCATTGTAAGCATTAGTATCACTGTAAGCATTAGCATCACTGTAAGCATTAGCATCACTGTAAGCATTAGCATCATTGTAAGCATTAGCATCATTGTAAGCATTAGCATCATTGTAATCATTAGCATAATTGTAAGCATTAGCATCATTGTAAGCATTAGCATCATTGTAAGCATTAGCATCATTGTAAGCATTAGCATCACTGTAAGCATTAGCATCATTGTAAGCATTAGCATCACTGTAAGCATTAGCATCATTGTAAGCATTAGCATCATTGTAAGCATTAGCATCAGTGTAATCATTAGCATCACTAAAAGCATTAGCATCATTTTAAGCATTAGCATCACTGTAAGCATTAGCATCATTGTAAGCATTAGCCTCATTGTAAGCATTAGCATCACTGTAAGCATTAGCATCATTGTAAGAATTAGCATCACTGTAAGCATTATCATCATTGTAAGCATTAGCATCACTGTAAGAATTAGCATCACTGTAACCATTAGCATCACTGTAAGCATTAGCATCATTGTAAGCATTAGCATAACTGTAAGCATTAGCATCATTGTAAGCATCATTGTAAGCATTAGCATCACTGTAATCATTAGCATCACTGTAATCATTAGCATCATTGTAAGCATTAGCATCACTGTAATCATTAGTATCATTGTAAGCATTAGGATCATTGTAATCATTAGCATCCTTGTAATCATTAGCATCACTGTAAGCATTAGCATCACTGTAATCATTAGCATCATTGTAAGCATTAGCATCATTGTAGGCATTAGCATCATTGTAGGCATTAGCATCATTGTAAGCATTAGCATCACTGTAAGCATTAGCATCACTGTAAGCATTAGCATCATTGTAAGCATTAGCATCATTGTAAGCATTAGCATCATTGTAAGCATTAGCATCATTGTAAGCATTAGCATCACTGTAAGCATTAGCATCACTGTAAGCATTAGTAATCATTGTAAGCATTAGCATCACTGTAAGCATTAGCATCACTGTAAGCATTAGCATCACTGTAAGCATTAGCATCATTGTAAACATTAGCATCATTGTAATCATTAGCATCATTGTAAGCATTAGTATCTCTGTAAGCATTAGCATCACTGTAATCATTAGCATCACTGTAAGCATTAGCATCATTGTAAGCATTAGCATCATTGTAGGCATTAGCATCACTGTAAGCATTAGCATCATTGTAAACATTAGCATCATTGTAATCATTAGCATCATTGTAAGCATTAGTATCACTGTAATCATTAGCATCATTGTAAACATTAGCATCATTGTAATCATTAGCATCATTGTAAGCATTAGTATCACTGTAATCATTAGCATCATTGTAAGCATTAGGATCATTGTAATCATTAGCATCCTTGTAATCATTAGCATCACTGTAAGCATTAGCATCACTGTAATCATTAGCATCACTGTAAGCATTAGCATCATTGTAAGCATTAGCATCATTGTAGGCATTAGCATCATTATAGGCATTAGCATCATTGTAAGCATTAGCATCACTGTAAGCATTAGCATCATTGTAAGCATTAGCATCATTGTAAGCATTAGCATCATTGTAAGCATTAGCATCATTGTAAGCATTAGCATCACTGTAAGCATTAGCATCACTGTAAGCATTAGTAATCATTGTAAGCATTAGCATCACTGTAAGCATTAGCATCACTGTAAGCATTAGTAATCATTGTAAGCATTAGCATCACTGTAAGCATTAGCATCACTGTAAGCATTAGCATCACTGTAAGCATTAGCATCATTGTAAACATTAGCATCATTGTAATCATTAGCATCATTGTAAGCATTAGTATCACTGTAAGTATTAGCATCACTGTAAGCATTAGCATCACTGTAAGCATTAGCATCATTGTAAGCATTAGCATCATTGTAAGCATTAGCATCATTGTAATCATTAGCATAATTGTAAGCATTAGCATCATTGTAAGCATTAGCATCATTGTAAGCATTAGCATCATTGTAAGCATTAGCATCACTGTAAGCATTAGAATCATTGTAATCATTAGTATCATTGTAATCATTAGCATCCTTGTAATCATTAGCATCACTGTAAGCATTAGCATCACTGTAATCATTAGCATCACTGTAAGCATTAGCATCATTGTAAGCATTAGCATCATTGTAGGCATTAGCATCATTGTAGGCATTAGCATCATTGTAAGCATTAGCATCACTGTAAGCATTAGCATCACTGTAAGCATTAGCATCAGTGTAAGCATTAGCATCATTGTAAGCATTAGCATCATTGTAAGCATTAGCATCATTGTAAGCATTAGCATCATTGTAAGCATTAGCATCACTGTAAGCATTAGCATCACTGTAAGCATTAGTAATCATTGTAAGCATTAGCATCACTGTAAGCATTAGCATCACTGTAATCATTAGCATCATTGTAAGCATTAGCATCACTGTAATCATTAGTATCATTGTAAGCATTAGGATCATTGTAAGCATTAGCATCACTGTAAGCATTAGCTTCACTGTAATCATTAGCATCATTGTACGCATTAGCATCATTGTAAGCATTAGCATCACTGTAGCTTCATTGTAAGCATTAGCATCATTGTAGCATCATTGTAGGCATTAGCATCATTGTAGCATCACTGTAAGCATTAGCATCATTGTATGCATTAGCATCACTGTAAGCATTAGCATCACTGTAATCATTAGTATCATTGTAATCATTAGCATCACTGTAAGCATTAGCATCATTGTAACAGACCTGTTTACCCTCAAATTTTTCAAATCGTACAATATCATCACAAAATGGTTTAAAACATTATCTTAATTGTAAAATAATAAATCTGCAGTATAAACATGTATAGCCTTAAAATCGTACATTGCACGCCAAAGTAAACAGATCTACCATACCCATACAATTGAAATGATACCCATCCAAGAGATGAGCAACAGGTCTGCCATACCCATACAATTGAAATGATACCCATCCAAGAGATGAGCAACAGGTCTGCCATACCCATACAATTGAAATGATACCCATCCAAGAGATGAGCAACAGGTCTGCCATACCCATACAATTGAAATGATACCCATCCAAGAGATGAGCAACAGGTCTACCATACCCATACAATTGAAATGATACACATCTAAGAGATGAGCAACACGTCTGCCATACCCATACAATTGAAATGATACCCATCCAAGAGATGAGCAACAAGTCAGCCATACCCATACAATTGAAATGATACACATCCAAGAGATGAGCAACAAGTCAGCGATACCCATACAATTGAAATGATACCCATCCAAGAGATGAGCAACAAGTCAATCATACCCATGCAATTGAAATGATACCCATCCAAGAGATGAGCAACAAGTCAACCATACCCATGCAATTGAAATTATACCCATCCAAGAGATGAGCAACAAGTCAACCATACCCATGCAATTGAAATGATACCCATCCAAGAGATGAGCAACAAGTCAACCATACCCATGCAATTGAAATGATACCCATCCAAGAGATGAGCAACAAGTCAACCATACCCATACAATTGAAATGATACCCATCCAAGAGATGAGCAACAAGTCAACCATACCCATACAATTGAAATGATACCCATCCAAGAGATGAGCAACAAGTCAACCATACCCATGCAATTGAAATGATACCCATTCAAGCGATTAGCGCGGGGCATATTCTGTGAAACTCACTGAAACACCGCTTTGGTCAAGACTACATTAAATAACTTGACCGCTTGGGGGGAGGGGCGCTACAACTTGGCTGACGGGGAGGGGCGCTACAACTTGGCTGACGTGAGCTGGTGACTTTATTATGTATTCCGTTTTTTAAGGGTTTAAGAGAGCAATGTACCCCCCGCCTCCCCCCCCCTATTCATGTCGATAACAAAATATCTTGTGAATGTTTGTAACATTGTTGGTGTAATAATGTGAATAAAAAGTTGATTGCTATAATTAAACTGCCGACCAGTTAAGAAAGATTAAATTCTTTAGACTTTAAGATTTCTGAATGCACTAGTAATATTCACTTCATGATTACCCCCCCCCCCCACCAAATAACTTCTCCCACACCAAGACTGACACAGGGTTGATATCCAAGAATCACAAAACCTCTTGCACTCAAAAAAAAAACACACAGCCCACTCTAAATTACATTTACCCAGATTAGATGTTTCAGTAAATCAAACTTTAACACGAATGCTGATGGGATCTAATTGGTAGTGAATTTAGCCTGTCATAATTTTGTTTTTACAAATAGTAGATACAAATCACACAGAAAAGAACTGGCAGCATGTAACGCATGATCTTCCACATTGAAGACTTTGATCTATTAAGTTATTGCCAGCTATTAGTCCTATTTTTAGACAACGATATTATACAAAGGTTTATTGCAGTGTTTCCCAACGTAATGCGGCAATTCGAAAATCGTTGGGGGAAACAATAATTTAACCGAGCCCAGCTTTAGGTAATGAACAAATGTCCTTACTGTTTCTCTCTCTCGCTCTCTCTCTCTATATATATATATATAAAGAGGATTAGAAATTGAATTTTTTTTAAAGTTAATCAAAATTATTGTTTTTCATTCATTGTATTACAAACAAATTTTACTTTGTGCAAGTTTAATCCTGAAACATTGAATTTCTTGACCTTACCAGAACCATAAATTGTTTGGGAGACACGTGTATCAGGACAGGGAAACACTAATGTGTATTTAGGACAGGGAAATATTTGGACCCACGTTGAATCCATACATGCGAATAATTGTGCATTCAAAGTAATTAGGCTTCTGTATACGTTTGTGTAACCAGGTTTCCTCATCTAGCATCACCGATGAGCCCAATGAATATACCCTTTTATTGTAATATAAAAAATATTAGAAAAGAAGTGCATTCCATTAACTGCATTCTTTAGTTTTAATGAGCTGTTTGAAGTGTTTGCTGTTGTTGTGGGTCAAAACAATGTTTGCAGCTGTATCAATGCTTATTAGAATCAGCAATTTTATAGAATCATAAACCAAACGCTTTTTTTAAAGTAATTGCATTTTTTTTTACATTTGTCATACTTTTTGTTATTAAAATCGCAGCGTAATTTTATTGGTAAAAACATTAAAGACCCAAAAATCATGTATCCAACACAATCTTATTTAGAGGGCAAATCAATAGCTGTGGTTGGGGGCGGGGTAGGGTGACCAAACGTCCCGTAAAAACGAGATTGTCCGGTTTTTTCACGATGGTACCCGTTGTCCCGAAGAAGTCTCTCGCTCGGGACGCCTAAATGTCCGTTTTTTTTTTTAAAAACCAAACACATTTTCTAATCACTAAAACTTCCTAGTTTATAATATAACTTCAAATAATATTTTGGCTTGCTGTGTAGCCAGTGCCAGTAGTGATGTGGGCTCGAGTGATGGCTGCACTGTTCCCCCTCCACCAGTGTCCCTGCCGCTAGATCTTATATGTAAATGTCTAGCGAAAGACATGAGACTTGAAGCCGCAAAGGGATGGGTGGGGGAGAGCATGCAGCTGTGCATAACAATTTTGATTCCACTTACGTGTAATGTGTTACTATTATGTGTGATCCCTGCAGGCCTGTTCGTGTTAGTGTGACATGTGTTAGTTTTAGGTGTTGAACTTTATTCTTTAATTTTATATTATCTTCTCATTAGAACACTAATTATGCCCAAGCGTCAATGTTAGTTTATGGAGGAGTATTCCAAAGAGTGGAACTCTATTAAAAAGGGACGCTATGAAAGTGAAGCCGAGTGCACAGTTTGCAATGATGTTTTTAGTATTGGTCATGGTGGGCGTTCAGACATAAAACAACACCTCACATCAGTGAAATATAGGAAAAGACTGATTGCCCCAAGTAGATTTCTAGGTTAGATTTCATAGTTCAAATGAGGATATTTCAATGAAGAGTTTCCGGTGGAGGCCCGCGTACCCCTCTTTAGCTGGAGGGTATCCCCCCCCCCCCCCCAAAAAAAAAGTCCTTGAAATCGTCCTGTTTTTTCCAAATCATCATTTGGTCACCCTAGGGCAGGGGGGGGGGAGACTGTATCAAACTCGCAGACGATCGTCTAAGACGGCGACGCCAATCATACAGCTGTTGATTACGAGTGTCATCCGTGGTAGCTTGTCGCGCACCTGCTCTCCAAGGACATCCCGCACCCCCTCCCCCCTTTGTGATAGTGTTGCAGAGACTGGGTAGGGGAGGTAATTATGATGAAATAACAAGGGGTGGGGTGTTTGCGTTGGGGAGACGGATGGGCTACAAATTAAATTGTTCATTTATTAAAAGTGTCAAAAAAGTTTGACACTTGAGGCAGCAGGTGTTACCGACTTTCTGCATTTGATGACCCTTACGAGCTTAGACTCTATAACCAATCAGTATTTTTCTTTTTAAAAGGGACAAATTAAATTTTAAACTAACTTACTTAAAAAGGAAGCACATTTAAGAAACATGTAAAATTTAATTTAAATTTTGTTTAGATTTTAAGTTAAATTATTTATTTTTTTAATTTACTTTTTTAAAAAGATGATAACATATGAAATATACACACACAAAAAAAAGGAATTTTAACCAAATAAGAGCTTGGGTTATTTATTATTTTTGAAGGGACGGACACATTGTTTTGCAGATGTGTACACATTGTTTTGCAGATGTGTACACATTGTTTTGCAGATGTGTACACATTTTTTTTGCAGATTTGTACACATTGTTTTGCAGATGTGTATCAGCCATTGTTATAAAATAATATTTAGGTGAAAGTGCAGGTCACATTATCACAGTCATTGCTAAAAATAGAGTTACTGGTGAAATTTGACGTGGTTTAAAACTCGAAGTCAGATCAGCATAAAATAAAATGTATTTAAATGAGAATTAATTACTCTTAAAAAAATTGGGGGCATCATTAAAAAAAAAAGCAACAAGCTACCAAGTAAATTGAGATTTATTTTTTGGGAAAAGCTGTTTTTAAAAAATAATAATAAATATCGATTATGCCTATTTCCTGATAACTAACTGTAAATGGGTGAAAGAAGAGAGGTATTAAAAATCGTACAGCTGTTTTGTGCCTTTGATCAATTTCAAAGGCATCTCAGGCAGTGATTTTTACAGAAAATTTCCCCCGTGGGAGTGGGGGGCACTTCAGATTTGTTTCAGGGGGGGGGGGGTTCAGTTGATTTACGGTTGGACAAATTTTTGCTCCGGGGGGGGGGCGTTTGGTTNTCTCACAGACAATCAGGAACTTAGAATGAAAGTGGAGACGAGTCGAGAAAGCCAGTTACAAGCTTTTGATTGGTGGCCGGCTTAGTGTGTGGGGGGGGGGGTGGAGGGGGGTTGCAGAAAGAATACGATGAGCGTGCTACTGGGAAAAAGTTTGAAGCACTGTTTGCTTTTAAGGACATGAAAGTGTGGAATGGGTATAATGTGAAGAGTGGTAGTGAGTATAGTGATATAACTTTTTTTTAAAAATTATTAAAAAAACCTTTTCCCAACTATTACGTTAGAATGAAGTTTTAAGAAACCCCCCCCCCCCCCCAAAAAAAAAGCCGTGAAAAACCATTAAAATCTATTTTTAGATTACAAAGTTACAGAATAGAAAAAGGAGACACCGGTTTTCACCACTCCGCCAGTTCAAACAAACAAAATAATTATGTAACTAAACTACTTTACATTCTTGGTCGCAGTCAAAGAAGATGAGGAGGGGGGGTGAATTTGGGGGGAGGGTGAAGTTGTCGCTAGGGCGACTAGTCTAAATATTACAGTTGACGCAGCTAGCTCAATAGATACGTTGTTATTTTTATAGACTTTGACATGCCCACAAATCCCCTAACCCAAGCGTTCTCCTTTATTCAAAAACCCCCACCTCCCCTCTCAGTGCGTACATAATAAAAAAAATTACAACCAATCGTTTTTCTCGGTCCATTTGCAGCCAGATCTTTATTAGAAAGGGCTCAAACTCCAACAATCAAAATTATTTAGTTTTTTTTTCAGAAAAATTACCCAAATACTTTTCACTCTGCCTCTGAAAATCATAGTTTTGGCGGTTCTCGGCGTACAATCGTAAAAGACATCTAAAAATCGTACATTGTACTCCAAAATCGTAAGAGTAAACAGGTCTGTTGTAAGCATTAGCATCACTGTAAGCATTAGCTTCACTGTAATCATTAGAATCACTGTAATTATTAGCATCACTGTAAGCATTAGCATCATTGTAAGCATTAGCATCATTGTAAGTATTAGCATCATTGTAGCATCATTGTAAGCATTAGCATCACTGTAATCATTAGCATCATTGTAAGCATTCCCACAAAATAAATACAAAGAAGGGGAGTGCCCATTATTTTTCATGTTGAATCTCGTGAAATAACTTGTTGTCAGCTACTAAAGGAGGAAATATAAAGGCTTTGAAAACATGTATTAAGTAGGGAAATTCAGTTTTCATGATCACATGTCATTGTATGTGAAGCAGTTTGATTCTCTATTCAAAACAGTGCCATACGATGTAGATAGTACTTACCCTATATGATTACTAAATACACTGCAAAAGTTAATTTTTTTTTTTTAAAATGACATTACTTACCATCCTTTCTCCTCGTATTGTTCAGCTAAAAGTTTGACACTCTTGAGAGATGCGAGGTCGACATGCATTACCTCAACCTGAGCATTGGGCTGTTCCTGGATGATCTGAGCCCTGCTCTCATGAGCAGCCTGCATGTTGCGACAGGCTATGACAACAGTGGCTCCATGGAGAGCCAGCGAGCGAGCGGTTTCAAAACCTGCGTGTTCAAAGAAAAAGTGTTTTTAATACCAGACGGCAGATTGAAACAATCATGGAGACTTTCGTTTTTATCTTTTTTAAATATAATAAAGGCGGCAGTGGAACTGGCCATTTCAATTTTTGCATCACTATTGATGGTGGGATTATGCATGACTGGTGGTGGTGCGATTATGCATGACTGGTGGTGGTGGGATTATGTATGACTGGTGGTGGTGGAATTATGCATGACTGGTGGTGGTGGGATTATGTATGACTGGTGGTGGTGGAATTATGCATCACTGGATGTGGTGGGATAATGCATCACTGGATGTGGTGGGATTATGTATGACTGGTGGTGGTGGGATTATGTATGACTGGTGGTGGTGGGATTATGCATCACTGGTGGTAGTGGGATTATGCATCACTGGTGGTGGTGGGATTATGTATGACTGGTGGTGGTGGGATTATGTATCACTGGTGGTGGTGGGATTATGCATCACTGGTGGTGGTGGGATTATGCATCACTGATGGTGGTGGGATTATGGTTCACTGGTGGTGGTGGGATTATGCATCACTGGTGGTGGTGGGATTATGTATCACTGGTGGTGGTGGGATTATGTATGACTGGTGGTGGTGGGATTATGTATGACTGGTGGTGGTGGGAGTATGCATGACTGGTGGTGGTGGGATTATGCATCACTGGTTGTGGTGGGATTATGTATCAGTGGTGGTGGTGGGATTATGCATGGCTGGTGGTGGGATTATGCATCACTGGAGGTGGTGGGATTATGCATCACTGGAGGTGGTGGGATTATGCATCACTGGATGTGGTGGGATTATGCATCACTGGATGTGGTGGGATTATGCATCACTGGATGTGGTGGGATTATGCATGACTGGTGGTGGTGGGATTATGCATGACTGGTGGTGGTGGGATTATGTATCACTGGAGGTGGTGGGATTATGCATCACTGGATGTGGTGGGATTATGCATCACTGGATGTGGTGGGATTATGTTTCACTGGTGATGGTGGGATTATGCATCACTGGATGTGGTGGGATTATGCATCACTGGATGTGGTGGGATTTTGTATCACTGGTGGTGGTGGGATTATGTATCACTGGATGTGGTGGGATTATGCATCACTGGATGTGGTGGGATTATGTATCACTAGATGTTGTGGGATTATGCACCACTAGTGGTAGTGGGATTTTTAAAAAATTAACGAATGGTTAGAACTCTCTCAGCCCCCACCCTACTGCCCCCCTCCCGAAGCGGGATCAAATTACTTTTAGCTTGCATACAAAGTCATATGTTTGGGTAAGTTTTAGGGCTTTTCCCTTATGATTACTTTCAGATTCCATGTGTTGAATTCAGGAGGCATCCAAGCTTGTTTCACATGTGTTAAATTTGTTTTCACTCTTCCCCTGGCTATGTATTTATGCAGAGAGTAAAAGTTTGATATGTTTTCTTTTTGTTTTTTGTTGTCATGGGATCCGTTTGTCACAATGGTGTAGACTTCGCGGGATGAAATCACAAGGCCTGGGGTTTCTTTCTTTAGGAGTACCGGTATAAGCCAGTTCCCTAGACAGAAAGTTGCACTTGGATAACCCACGGGGACATCATAAACTGATGTTATAGCTTGACACCATTAGCCTCGCAGGAGGTGTCGGAATTTTTCATCTTGTTAATGTATCCGCCTCCGGGACCCCTTCACAGGGTTTTGATCCAGAGTTTCCTTCTCTTGGATGTGCTGCCATCCAAGGTTAACAGGTCCCATCCACCCGGGGTGCTGGTGATGTTTTTGCCCGACGCAATCTTTGGTGGGATCGACCGCAGGTTTAGACCACTCGGACCACCCAGCACCATCATATATGTACACAATGAAAACCAGTATGAAGTAGCAGTCCCATTGAATCAAATATCCTGGATGAACACCCATTGGTCAATATTTCTAACATAATGAAAAAATAACAATATGGGCTCTGTAGCATTTTGATGTTTGATTCTAAATGTTTGCAACATACAATATGTATTTTTAAAAAAGAAGACTAGACAGCAGTTAGAAAATGTTTGACAGCAAAATGACATAATGCTTTGTTTACTAAATGGGATGCTAATTGACTCTTGCATAATAAGAGGGATACTATTGCATATCTCTGCAACCCGTATCCCAATGAATGCCATACACCTCACCTATCCCACTGTTGGCTCCTGTAATTAGGGCAAATTTCCCAGTGAGGTCACGGCCATGCAGAATCTGAAGTGCTGTGCTGCTCCCATCAAATTTTTGCCTAAAATCCAAAGGGCTGTCCTTGACCTCCTCTGCAAATGCCAGTCTGGGATCAGTGTATGTGGTCTTTTCGTTCACATGGCTGTTAGAAGAAGGTCGTCCAAGCAAAAATGAATACAGTTATTTAAGGGGAATTCATAACTTAGCCCAAATTATAAAATAAAATGAAAGTTCAAAAATATATTATTAACAGTTTAGTGAAAATACACAGTTTTAGAACCATGTCTTAACACATACATAGTTTGAGAAGCATGGCTTAACAGATGCGTAGTTTGAGCAGCATTTCTTAACACACACATAGTTTGAGAAACATTTCTTAACACATACATAGTTTGAGAATCATGTCTTAAGCTACCAGGATTTAAAAATTGAACAATTTGATTGGGATTTTTTGAGTGCCTTCATTTACTCTTTCTTGTAACCAATTTGATTTGAAAGTTTTTTGAAATTTCCTTAAACTGATTTAAAAACTATGTGAATTAATATTCAATTTAATCTAATTCCTTGAAAGAACACTTACTCCACATAAAATACTGTTCCATCTTCAGTCACATTTCTCTCCCATCCATATGGTAATTCTAGGAGAAATCAAATAAATTAATAGTCAAAATATATTATTCCATTTTTAACAGATTCACAAAACATTCAAATATTTGATGAAACCTGTAGAGAAAATTTGATTATTTCTTTCCTTTTCCTCAGATTCAGATCTGTAATTAGGCACTTCAGGTTGTTTTTTAAAGGCCAAAATACATCAGGCCAACATAAGCGGCCACTTTCCCATTACAATTGAGGCCAGGTTAAGTTTTAAAAATAAAATTTATTAAAATTTGTTAAAAGCAAAACTGAACTAGAAAAATTTGAATTGATCTTGACTTACCTCCCTTAACAACTTTCTTCTTCCCAGTAACAGGATGCTTCCATTGAGTGTTCTTTGTCTCATGGCTGATAAAATAATACAATGTGCATATTAAAGATATTAATAGAAATTGCCAACTCATTTACATGAAATTGTAATGAATCTGGTGTATAACCATTTTTTAAATGCATAAATATCAAAGTTCTTTTGGTTAACTATCCCATTTCTTTACAAAAACATTTTTTTTAAAAAGATTAAATCCCTTTTTCGGGAAATGGCAAATTTAATACCTGTAGCAGAAAATAAAATCACTTATTATCATTAACTATTCATTAATAAATAATTTTTAATTCTGTTCAGGGAATGGCTAGTATACAAGAAGAAAACTTTTCATTGGCCAATCATTCATTAATAAGTTGTTTTTTTGGCGCAAGTTTCCTGTTCATTGTATAAAATTCAAAAACAGACAAAAATTAGTAAATGGTCTAAATACTTTTCTTATTTATTTAACCCTTTCATTACCACTGGTTTTGGCATCGATTTTCGCTGACTCAGAAATTAAAAACTTAAAGATGAAACTTCGGGTATTATTTCATTCTCTATCCGATTCGCTTATTAACTTCTCTATAGATTAACAAATAAAGAAATATAAAGCATTGAAATATGACGTCGACGTGACGTCCTTGGTATTTCAGAAAAGTTCTTTGAATTTTGTTATGACGACAATGTGACGTCCTTGGTAATTGAAAGTGGGTGATCGTGACGTCACTTTGACGTCATCGGTAACGAAAATGTTAATAATTTCATTAAATTTTTACTACTATGGTCATAAGTTGGGTAGTATTATCAATTATTTTCTACAATTATTACTACCAACACTATAATCATAGTGTTATTATTAAATAAACCAAATCCATAATTTTCCTAGTCTTTCCCCTGTTTGGTTTTGTACATTTTACTTCAAATCACTTCCTTTCCGTTCTTTTTTACTTTGTTTTTGTCTGGATTTTGCGCCCACTCCTATTCTTTTTTAGGAAGCAGACATGTATACATATTATGTAAATTTAATGTATACTTATTTAAATGTTATGTTGTGGTAATGATGAAGGCATTGGTAGAAACGTTTACTTGTGTATTATGTAAAATTATATTTAAAGCTGAACATATATTGTTTTATTGATACACATTGCTCGTGTCTAATTAATATATTTTAAAGCTTTATTGCGGCCCAACACTCTTATAATGGAGTCAACATTCCAAATCTTGTTATTAATTACTTGCAAACACTATACCGGTAACTGCACTGTCTAAAATTTCCTTATGGTTCGCACAATTGAAATGTTTAGAAACTGGCCAAAGAGTTTGTTTATCGATGTCAGACTAGTGTTCCATAAAACATATCTCTCCTAGAAATGATTTTCTGCACTTTTTACAAAGGATGGTGTAAATCATGTTGCAAAACCATCTTTGCTTCCGAATATTTCCAGAAGGAAAGTCACAATTCTCAAATTCAATCACGTCGGGACATGTGTTACAACGGATACTGTTGCTACTTTTTGAATGGATATGTGCTATAATAGCAGGTGGCTTCTAACAAACATGTCCCAAAGGCTTTTGTCCCCTCCAGAAAGCGAAAAGAGGTTTTTTTGAAAATCTCATTGGTGAAAGGGTCTGCCATAAGAATGGACTGGTTGTTGAGAACTAGATAACAAGCCATAAGGTTTTGGGGATGAATAGTTAAAATAAATTTTGACTTATCCCCACTGTCAGAAGGAGTTGCTTTAAACAAATCCTGTCCGGTCATACCTTTAATTCAAGTGCCACCTGCTTTTAAAATTGGCTCAGGATATAATTTACGCAGAAAAATCCGACATTTCCGCCATCCTTTCCCAAAATAATCCTCATCATTGCTGCAAAGTCTTCTCAGTCTACACAATTGAGAAAAAGGTATGGAATTTTCAAATGACTGAGGATGGGATGATGAGTATAGCAGGACACCATGGCTGTTTGTCATCTTATAATAATAGGTTAATAATAATATTTAAATTTTCCTGCATTGTGGAAAATGGGTTTTGTTCTGATTTTTCTGACAACTTCGGAATTTTATTTTTGGGGGAAGCTGCAATAAAGTTTGCAAAAGTGTATTCTATGAATCTGAAAGTTGGGTTTTCATTATTTTAAAAATATCTTGTATTGTTTTTCTTCATTTTTAGACTTTTCACACCATGACCACAGTGTGTTACTAGTGTTACTGTAGCAGATGTATTTAGTTGAGGAAGCAGAGCGACCGCTGACACTTCATGTCGCATATCTTGAAGGCCACAATGAAGTTGCTATGCTCGCCACAAAATTAATTGTACTGGCTGAAAGCTAATTTTGTGTTTTACATGGACGCCATCTTAGTTGCCATGTGGGATATGAGTGGTGCGCAAAACCAACATTACCGATTACTATTGAATCATAGTACATACGATTAGCTATAATATAAAAAAATGACAGCCTCAAGTCTGCTTCTGCTAAGACTTTGACTTTATTTTAGATGGCTAAGTTAAAGTACTCCTAGAAAATTTGTATCGGAAATCGGGGTCGGCGCAATGGAATCCGATTTTTTATGTGAGTGTCATTTTAATAATACAGGAGTCCTTTTGGCCCATAATTAAGGTCTGACTCCTTCTATTCCCATTAGGAGAAATGTTGATCTACATTCCCATTGAGGTTTTTTTGTTCTTTATATCAACTTTAAGTGAGGAAAATTGTATGTCAATATAAGGCATCTTTCAACATAAATTTTGTATTCAAATATTAAAAGTAGGTCTTTCATATTAATTGTAGGTCTGCATGATATATTGAAGTATATGTATGCAAAATTTCATTGCACTAGCTCATGAAACATTTTAACAATTCTCCTCAACGTAGACCTCTCTATGCAAAGGTCGCACAGGCTATTTTGCATTAGTAACCACGCCCCTTTTAAATAGCAGAAGATGCAGTTACCTAGCTTAGGAAATATTCAATTATAACCAATATATACATCAAAATATTTGATAACTTATGTTTTTGAATGAACTTAAATGTTATTGAAAGAATAATATTTTAATTTGAGGTTAAAAAGTCCATATTATAAATGATTATAATTAGCCGTGTGCAAAATGTCATGGCCATGGGCAACCATTCACAGTCACTTGCATAATGGCTATACCGTACCATCTCAGAGTTTTCATTCATAAAAGTTTGCCGTGTGCAAAAATGATTAAACCATTGGTCAGAGAAAGCTTTAATTAATTAGTCATGTGCCAAAGTTGAAATTTCAGAATAAGTAGTTCCCAAGCAGTATTTTAGTAGTTAGGGCATGCTTATTTAGACTATATAGCATCAGACCTGCCAACCTGCCAAGAAAAAATCTGTAGGGAGTTGCACGCAGGGGGGAAGTGGGGCCCCTGCCCCCAGGGGATGGCGCTCCGTCTGGGTGATGGTTTAAGATCTATATACTAATGCACAAGCCTTTTTTTAGTAAATAAAGAAATATAAAGTTATTGCCATTGTCTTTGAATTGAATAGTCCTCAGAACACCACATTACATGAGAAAAACATTACTGGAAATGTTTACATACAGATATATACAATACAGAACAGAAGATCCATTTTATTTACATATGTACACAGACAGCTAAGAGTTCAGTTTTCCAGCATATCCCTAGAGGCCTATTTGCACTTGTTCAACAGCTCTTTGGACAATTGAAGGTTAGCATTGCAACTGATTCTAGTTACAAGTTACAAGCAAGTTAGAAAAAGTATCAACTTTCATCCTTGCCCCTGTTTCATTGTAATTGTTCTTCACAATCTTCTAGCAGTCTGCGAGTCTGGAAACATTTCTTTGACTCTGGCATAAAAACAATAGGAGTTGGCTAGAGAAATATTTCCTTCAATAAGAAAGGAGGTAAAAAAAACAATCTGCTAGAAATTAGACATGGAATACTTTGCAGTTGTATGGTGTTTTTTTTGGGTGGGGGGTTTAAAATATGTTTATTATTATCATTTTCAATAGATTTAACCATTTAATTAATAATTAAGAAGAGCTTTAACAAACAAAAAAAACAACAAAAAAAAGTCTGAATAATTTGTTAGCCTTGTAAAAGGATGAATCACGATCGGATCAATTGATAATTGAAATTGAAGAATGATTTAAATATCGCAGTTCACTTCGATAAAAACAAGGCAGTGTCTACACGTCAGACAACCGGACAAATAGTGCCATGCCACACTTTATAAAAAACATTGTCACTTTTTAACAATTGTTCATTATATATACCAGCAAGGGTTCTAGTATTTCTTTTGTAGAATTGAACATATTTCTTTTTCATGTAAATGTCCAGACTATCTTGAATTTGTTGAAATGAAGTACCTTAAACTCTGATCGACAATTAGCGGTCACGTGACAAGGCTGACGGACAAATATCTCGCGCACATTTGTTACGGTGGTCATGTGACTTGGTGGAATATATAATAGCTGTACAAATATCTCGAGAATTTATTCCTTATTAGTCCAGTCGCAGGACATGTATGCACTTCGTAAAAACAAATGCAACACTTTTTGTTTTGTCCCGTTTTTTTTGTTTTTTTTTTTTTTTGTCGCTTTCGGATTTTTATGTTGGGTGAGAAATGATAAAGTTAGAAAAATCTGAAATGGGTTTTTCAGAAGGTCGGAAAGAGGGGTATAATTCCGACAAAATCGGAAGTATTGGCAGGTCTGTAGAATATATCGGTATAATGGATGCATAGATTTAGTTAACAGAAAAGTCATACATTATTACATTATATTTAATTTACTGATATAAATAGTGCATGGCATAGTTAGATAACAATTTATCTATAATTGTATAACATTATTAAAATTATTTTTTAATACAGCATTAGTTCTGAAAATAAAAGTCGTATAAATTTATCATTAAAACAAGAGTTAAAGAGCTCGTGACGCAAACAGCGGCATTGGGTCACAGAATGTGGAGATGCGGTCCATGTTAAAAAGGACATAAGAAGTCATACTTAAAAAATTCATGATTTTGAAACTACAACACCTAAAGCCTAAAAATATGATTTTGGTGTTATAATTCTTTAAAAAATTAGCTCTATTCAACTATGCCATTGGTTTTTTTTTTTACAAAAAGTTTTAATTATTTATCCCAGTATGGCTAATTTGGAGAGATAGCACCCTGACGTCATTTGCAAAATGTTTTGTCCCTGGTTCCGATAGGGTCAAAACCCAGGTTAGGGATAAGTTTAGGGTTCAGGGATGGATTTAGGGAGTAGTCTTGCAGTTCTGGTGCGTATATTATTTCTCATCGAATTTCGTATTATCGCGTGTAATCTTAAGTGCATTCTTTATAAAATTTAGTCCAGACAGTATTAGTTAGACCTAAGACTAAATTGTACAGCAATAACTTTTCTTTTTTTTTTTTTATTTTTACAGCCCATACCGTAAACGATCTCTCCATTTTCTTGCTTTTTAAAAATTCGCCATACATGCTAGTAGATTGAAAATTTACAACTGAAAGCATATTCATAAAAAACCAAACAAGGAATGAGATTTATATTAAATTATACCAAAATTATTTATTGATGCTTAACTTTTCAAACTAAAAGCTTAAAAGCATGTTCACAAAATAAATTTATATAAAATTGGCATGTATAATGGCTGGGTTTAGGAAAAATTAAAATTAAACTTCAGTACCGGTTTTTTAATATGGATAATCAAGTGTATGTTATTATGTGTACTAAGTTTCATCTCGTTCCATTCACCCAAGCCCATGCAGGAGCCTTTGATTGGAATTATATTTATACACCCCATAAGAAAAAAAATTTTTTGGGCCCCTATAAAATAACAGAACATCTAATTAAGTTCATATCCCCCCAACCCGGTATTTCATTATTTTTGGGAACATGGCTACAATTTGAAAATTTCGTTTAGCATACCAGTACCAGCTTATAGGTGATCAAAAATCTGGCACAACAGGTTTAAAAAAATACAAAACAAATGTAACTATGGAAGTTTGGGGGATGTTCAAAGATGCTTTAGAAATAAAATAAAATGAAAATAAGCGCTGTTTAATTCAGTATTGGCATTGGCAATTGGTTAAAACTTATCTAGGCAGTAGATTTAATTAAATTAATGAAGAATACACGTAAGTTTAATACGCAGCTGAACTGCAAGATTACCAATTTAGGGTTCACGTTAGGTTTAGGGATACATTTAGAACATAAGTTCGCGGGAACCAAGATGGCGGCCGCGGTGCTATCCCTCCAAATGTATCCAAAGTTAATCACAGTACAATACTAACCCAGCTTAGGCCTTAGTTAGGCATAGTAGTTAATTTAAGTTAATGATAATCAATGATAGTTACCACGGCGTAATCGTAGCTTTTAGAGCGTTATTTTCACGCTGCGTTGAATGCAGTGCTGGCAAATTATATTAACTGTTTAAAAATATGTATAAAAATTCAATTAATTACTTGGCATAGTATACTTTGCCATCGGTAGTTACTCTTTCTTCCCAACCCGGAGGCAATTCGTCTTCACTGTCAGAGTCAAACAACTGTGTCGCCATATTGTAAACACACACATGCGCAACAAGATTCCGCCTTCAACTTCCGGTAAAAAATAGAGATGTTGCAGCGATTCTCAAAATGTACTGTGTATTTTAGTTTTTTTAATTTAAATTTAAACCTTGACTCTCAAACTGTAGATTGAAGGACAGTCAGTCCAAACATAATTAAACAATAACACCATCAACTGCTGATGATTTCGTCATATTGCCCCAAAAAAGTAGACAATTATTTATGTTTTTTTCTTCCTCCTCTATATTTTGAGGACACACGATCATAATATTGACCATTCTGGCTCCTGTGCATGAAGAGGGGTTCGCTATGTAACTGTGCATAGTTTGGATACTTTCTCTTTCGTGTAGCCTACTTTTTGTGGGGGGGGGGGCGCATGGGCAGTTGCGTAGCCCCCAACTAATTAATAGAAAACAAAACTTTGCAGTTGGCCGAAAATCCCGAAAATAGAAACCTTACTCTGCAGTCAGCTATCACAGCTAGGATTAATAAGGGGAGAGACTGCAATCAGGTTAGTACAAAATAAAATGAGTAAAACAGAGTATGGTTAAACCTGAAAAATTAAACGTAACAAAACAGCGAACGTGTCGGCAGAAAGCCTTCGTCAGCGAACAAAACAACAGAAAAAACGTTATAAAAATAAGAAATAGCACTTAGCTGGTAAGTAGTATCTGTGGGCAGCAATAG